GTCCGGTCCTAGCGGCCAACGTGGAGGCTAGTCGTACCCTTGCGGTTTTTGTTTTAGCTTAGCTCACTCTTAGGGATTCAATAATAAATCGACTTTTTTTTTATTAAAAATAATATACTCGCGATAAGTAGATTTCGCGAAAGAGATCGTCCGGAAGCCAAGGTGGCTACCGGCTCTGGTCTAGTGGGATGCTCGGCATCGACGAAAGGACCTACTTGCCTGGCCGGGCATGAAAAGTCGACAACCGTGCTTGTCTGGCCATATTGCCTAAGATTTTATCTATTTGTACATTAATATTTTATTCTTATAGAACGTGGAATATTTTATCTATTTTTCTTGCTTTTTGTTTGTCTAGTATTTAATCGGCCTATTTTACCTCAAGCCGAAATATAATTTGCTTAACTACAACACCAAATTCACAAAATTTAATAAAATGTTCTGTAGTTTCTACTCCATGAAGGCGATACATATTTTTATACAAATATTTATGTACTTACATATTCTTTAAAACTTCTTACGAAACAAGAGCTCTGCTCTTATCGCCAAACCACTTTGTTCACATATTTTGTTTTAATTGTACTCTAATCTGTATACGTTGTGAATAAAGTTATTATTATTATTATTATTTTCACTTTCTCCCGTCTAAACGTTAAGAGTTGAAACCTCGTCACTTTGTGATTCAATGTAGTATACCTCGAACTTCACTGTTTAAGAACTCTTCCATTTGGAGAACGGCAGTTATGTGAAAGGAACTTCCTGGGAAGGTTTTTCAAAATGGATTTATTCTCCAGTGATTCAAATCACTACTTTCGCACAGGCACAGCTCTAAGAGCGCCTTAAAGATTTTCCGGTAGCGCTTGTGTTTCATCTTGAAAAAAGTCCTTAGTTTGCACAAGTTTTGACTTTTGAGAGTTTTCGTTCGTAGGGGGACGACAGCTGGTTAACGGAAAAACATTTCTTCAACAGATTATCTAGCTATCAATTGTCTCCTGAGGATCCAATTTTGTTCGTGATATTCATGAATGCTTTATCCCTTGTACTGCATTCCTGACCGTGATGGAGAATATGCAAGTCTTCTGGATCTATACCTAACAAACAATCCAGAAATTTACAGTCACCGTAAGGTCTCCATTGGGATCTTCTGACCACAAATTCATTTCAGTGTTGAGTGAATTAACGATGAATGTTGGGTAACAATCTAGGCCGCGCAAAGTTTGGCATTACAGATCATGGATGCATATATTCCTTTTTCAATGAAACGACCTTCTGACGCCAAACCTTGGTTCAACAAAAATTGCAAGCAAGCTTCGCCTCCAAAAATCTCGCCTACCGGCAGTGGCGCAAAAATCCCAATACTGAAAACCAAACTGAATTTGGTAATGCTCGCAACAGCTGCAAACTTAAGATAAATCAAGCAAGATAAGTCAAGCAAAGAACTTGACAATCAAAGTATTACGGATGAATTGCTTGCCAGTCCCAACGAGTCTAGATCTTTCTGGTCGGTATGTACCTGAAGCTGTTAATCAGAAGTTTACAAAATCCACAATACAATTCACTAATGCAAGCGGATGGTACAATTGAAACAACAGCCATAGAAAAAGCAAATCTACTAGCTGAAAAATTTGCTTCCCGCATTAGAATCCACAATGCCGGAAATTACTGTTCGACAACGTCTAGTCAGGCGAATATTAAGCGAATAGCTCAATATCAATATGGTGTCTGACCCTGAGTGCCCGTCATCGTACTTAGAAAGTGCGCAAATGAACTCGCACCAGTATTTTGCAGACTATTAACCTGTTCCAAAAAGAAAGAGGTTTTTCTTCCTTTTTGGAAGATTGCTCGCGTTCAGTCTATTCCCAAAAAAGCCAAGAAAAATGTTCCAAATAAAAATTATGGAGAAAGTCTCAAACCACCGTATCCTCAAATATTTGGAAGGCTTCAACATCTTGAGCGATAATCAATATAGCTTTCGGAAACAAAGATCAACAGGCGACCTTCTATAGACTGTCACCCATATTTGAAATGAGGCAATCGAGAAACATGGAGAATCAAGAGCTGTTGCGCTTGATATTTCTAAGGCTTTTGACTGTGTGTAGCGTGAGGGTTTGCTGGCCATACTTCGATGCTATGACTTGTCGGATCATTTCTGTGTATGGCTCTCAAGCTTGATGAAAGAACGTTCCCTACAAGTATCCTTCGATGAATATCTCTCGAATCCTTTCACCATCAACGCTGGTGTTCCCCAGGGATCCATGTCTCCAACTCTCTTTCAATTGTATATCAACGACTCATTGGAAAAAAACAAAAATACAATACAGGGTGTAACTGAATGAGTGTAAAACATTTAAAGAGGTGATTGCCCATCGAAAAAAAGATAGGATCTTTCATATAAAGAAACTTCATTGGAGCATCCCTTGTTAAGATACAGCCCCTTAAAGGGGGTACATAAAATTTGTATAACAATTTTGTTCACAAGCACTGAAAAAGTTACAAACCTGACGTTTTGTACTACCAAAA